ATCAAATTAGTAATTACTCAGCAGGGGTTATCCACTTTTGCGTTTGTCGTCTTTAAGTCTACATAGTTTTCTAAAGAATTTCCATTTTTGAAACTGTAAATAGAAGCGAATTAAAACAAGGACCGTTTGCTTCACTTCCCAAAACATGATTACATAACATTGTTATGAACTATTTTTCGGTACGCACCTCCATCCTAAAGGAAAATTACAATATACTGGGCTTCCATTCCACAAATAAGTTTGCGTGGATCTGTTTGTATTTCTATTTATTCTTTGTTTCTAAACCACATACTCTTCTGCTGTATTAGAGTGAGTTATGTAAGCTGAAAAGACCTTAATTAAAAATTGAAAACAATAGCAAATACTTTATTCAACCCAGGCCTCATTGATCCTCATAGTAGATAACTTTATTAGCTTCACACCATGACTAAGTAAGTTATCTGAATAGATAAAAATGTAAACAAATTGGTTTCAGCAGGAACTGTAATCAGAATGGAGTGTTCTTTGGCCTGCCTCCTAAGGAAACCGTATGAATCTGATCTCAATAACAACAATCCGCAAGCCTCGGATACAAATGTTGTCCAAGCTTAGTTATAAATGTAAATTTTCTCGTAAATTTCAGTTTCAAGCAAACTTTATGTAGAAAATGATCCTAACGATGATCCCTTGTAAACGTGTTGCGGTAAAAATATTTTATTTTCTGCCTCATGGTTTGGAAACTTATTTAACATTTTGTTCAGACGTGCATTATTAATGGTTTTAAAACGAAATCGTTGTCAAATTCATGCATCTCTTAAATCGTCTTCAGAACTATAGTTGAATTGGTTACAGACACTTCCTATTTACATTTTGGACTTAGTGAACAAAATATAAAAAGTGAATGCCATCTTTGCAAAGTTTCCTCGAAAAAACCCAACGTAGGATGGACCACATTTTCGCCTAAGTTGAAGGAGTTGCAATAATAACTTGATTTCTTTTTTAATATATCTTGAATGCAAAGCGGCTGAGCGTTGTTATCAACTCCAGAAATTCAACCAGAGGCAGAACAGAAACTCCAACCCAAAGTCCCAATTGACCACCAACGCCTGAAATAAACGCATCCATCTAAAAAAGGAAAGTAAGGACATACAGATTATTAAAACATGTTGGCAAAGAGGTGAACAGCTGCAGTCGATTGAACATGGTGGGTACAAGCATGAGGGCCACTCCGTTAAAATAGCTATTTCTTATTCACAACGAAACTTGCCTTCTCACAAAGAGAGTCTGGTAAGAAAGACTTTATCACTCTCTATTTGTGCACCGGCATATCCTTATCGTGTGTTCTTTCTGCGACATTGAGATGATGCTTCCATTATTTTACATTACTTCCCAGTTCCATCCAAACGTTTAAAACAGTTATAACTGTTCAAATACATTTGTATCGACTACTGCTACTTACCGTGTACGACATTACCTCCTTAATTACTTCTCTTTCAAGTTCTTGATAAAAAACGTGCAGCCTCAGGTTATTTTTTCTAATAATCCCATTAAAAAATGTAAGGTAAATTAACTATTTTTGAGGGGATTATAAAATCTGTTGAACTTGAACTGATAATTAGTATTGATTTCATTGGTACTCTCCTACACAAAATGGGTTGAGTATCAAATTTGACGTCATGACAGAAAAAAGTATATATTTGAAGAATTAAGAATTCCACGTATAAATTAATTCTGAAAAGTATAGAAAAAAATGCAATACTTACGAACCAAAATCCTCATCGCTGAATTTTAATTGACCACCTGCCTCCTAAAGATATATGTATGAAAAGATTTGACTTATGACCTCATATTTAAGACCTGAAAGCTGAACTGTCAAGTTTATACAACACCGTGCTATATATCTCGATGACAGAAAATGGCCTTAAACCAGGGTTTTCCTAAAAGTTTTTATCTACCATTCCTTGAACTTGGCCACGTAATGATATTATTATTGAAGAAAATGTAGGATTTATCACAAGTGTACAGTTTCATAATTCATTTGTATTCTTACCATGGGGTTTTATTATTACTAATGTATGCTATGTCTGATTGTGTTTTGTAACTGTTTTTGTTGTTCTTGTTGTTATTGTTTATTTATTTTTTTGGTTCTCTTGACAGGTTTTGTTTGAATCATAAAGCTATGCACATCAAGATATTAATAGTTATCGATCAAGAGTCATCATCAAAGGTAAGGATATTGAGCTAAAAAAAAAACCTCGATTGACATTTACAAAAACGCGGCCCCTTTCCACGCACATAGCGTTCCTGATCATTGAAATACCTTGTATTTCTCAGATTGCCAAACTTCAAAAGATGCACTCTTTTGGAAAAACACCGACCTACAAAATCCGGATTTCCGTCGGTTACCAGATTGAAAATAACACAAACAAACAAACAAACAAAAATTGTATTTACTTTGTTAAAGCGATATTGATTATTTGAAGTATGTATGCCGAAAAGATCCTAAAAAGAACCTACACTTGTACCTGCAAGGTGGAACACAAGATTCTGCACACTCATGATCGTATAGGATATAACATGTACAGACATAAATGGATTGCTGGTTACATGGTTGAATCGACGAATGGATATGTTGATAGATAAAAAATTGGATTGACCGTCGTCATCGAGTAAGAGGTGTTCAAAATTTCCGTGCATAAATTTTTCCGGGTGAATTTGTCTCCTTCTCTACAACGCTTATCATCCTTAGCGGGATCAGTTCGTCCAAAGACAGTCTGTAATGGAGAATGCAAAAAAAAGAATAATAACTCACTATGCTAAAGGATTGGTATCTAGATTCGCCTCTTAGTGCCTTTGATTTGAGATATCCACTCTTACTCCTGCTCCTGCTGTGGTATCAAGGAACTCTTGTTTCTGAATACTCATCTCCAGTGTTAACCCTTTAAAGCAAGCATAGTAGAACACATGTAATGATTGAATAAGCTCACTCAGTCAAACTATCAGTTATATCCACGACATTCCTGTTCCTTGCAAGCCATCGAATGACGCGTGATCACATTTGGATAGTCCACGTAACAACAGCTGCAGATGTTATCATTACAGTAGGTGATTGGTGAAATTATCAGCTTGAGTTGCCATCTGAATTATAGAGTTCGTTAATGAAACTCCACAAAAAATGATGTAAAAACCTTTTATGCCAAAGTACCTACCTCGGTATGTTACTTGAACTTCCAGTATTACCTTGTGATATTCCAGGTTTAGTTGAGCGAAGAACTGAAGTCCTTTGTATTCCACCTATGTTAAATACGAAGGAATTTCCAAATGTGAAATGCAAGAAGTGTATCCACAACGAGGCGTTTTCCCTAAAAAAACCACAGATTCTCCTAAATTCTTCGAAAGAAGAATTTTTTCAAATCAATATTTTCTCAGTACGGTCAAACATCGAGGAATCTTTCTGAAAATGAAAACTTTCCTCATTTTTTAATTTACCTGTTTCAACATTCATCCTTGTGTTTTTGTTATTCAGATATTAATCAAGTGGGTTTTTTTTTTTCAAAACATTGTAACTCAGCTTACTAACCCTTCAGTTGTTCAAATAAATCTTTGTGTTGAGCTGGTAAGTAGAGTTAAGAAAAAAAAACATGCCAAAAAATAAACCTTATCATAATTGTGTTATAGCTGATGTTTTTTTCTCTCAGCCCTTGGTTTGTTCCGGTGTAAACTTGAGAGTTTTGGGAAGACATTGAAACCATAAGCTTATAGTAGTGCAAAACAGACAATATCACAAACTTCAGGAAATAAAACTCGAGTCGTTCCGATTTTTTCAAGGCTTTCCAGTGGGAACAAACATAAAAATAGACATGTCAGCATAAATAGAAGCTTGTTAGCACTTTTTAATAAGCTTTTTTGCCTATAACCTTCAACAGATAAAGAACTTGTTTAATTGTACAAAAGGGAAGCTAAAGTAAGTGTAGCGTTTCTATTACACGTAGTGTTTTTCCTTTTAGTATGTCTGCGTAGGTTTACCTTATAATAACCTCTAATAATTTTTAACCTAGAAGCTAAGGCATTTTTACATATTCGTGTCAAAAAAATTGGGTCACTCAAATTTGCATATTTGGTCGGAAACCGTCCATTAAATTTTCACGATGTCGTGTGAATCCAATAATCATATGGCTTTTCAAAAGTTAATTCGTAGCTAGGCGTTCCAGAGTGGGGTAACGATCTGTTGACATAACGTCAAAAGAGAAACAAAATTAAAAGATAACAAAGTACGGAGACTCTACTGAAATTGATTACCTTGCATCCAAACTGATGTACTCATCGAACTTTCAATGCAAAAAAAGGTTAAAACATACCACAACACTTCTTTAATCAGCATTTACTGTGAAAATGCGATCCTTGTTATGTGATACAAATTTCATTTTTATATAGAAAGCGTTAAGATTGTTTAGCGCGTGCCATCGCCTGTGGCTATAATTAAGCTTTTGGGCTAGTATCCACAGGCTGAAATCATGCAAGTCATATGACAATCATATATTCAAAACTGATAATAATCAAATGTAAAATCCTTTGTTGTTAATATCTGAGGATCAACTGATAAATCTGAAGGAAGTTTATGACCAGGAGAGCAATGCCACGAATAAAAATGCTGTATGGTTTAAACGAAAAGGCAGTTTGGGGCAACTAAATGATAACAAAGTTAAATAAAGTACATGTGTTGATTGGTGAACTCTATGTACAATAAATATAATTGACTTTTGTTGACAATATAGTTAATTGACATCAAGTGTCTTGTTCTAATTTGAAGTTAAATGCCTCCGTTAATAAAAAATTACACCTGCTGTTTCATGATAAGACATCTCTAGTAAACATTGAACGCTTTTAAATTTAATTAACACGTACCGTGCGTGACTAGGAGTTCCCTTCTAATTTTGAAGGAGCTCCCATAGCCTCGAGTTCAAACAAAATTTTATTAACTAACGGGTGGGCCTATCGACAGCTTATAGACGACTATCAATAAACAACTTCGCATTTTAACATGGCCAGTCCAGGTTGAAAAAGCGATGGTCAAACCGAGGTTCTAAACATCTTTGCACCTTGCCGAAAAAAGGTTAAAACTTTACACCTTTCAATACGGTAGACTGATCGATTCAATCTGGTAAGATTTTTTGTCGAACTCTTCGAGTCTTTTATAACTGAATAACCATTGGTCATTGCGTCGCAAATCTCCCTTCAGTGATGTATAGCTAACCATTTTACTCGGTGCTTGGTCGTAATTCGCAGAAATGGAGACCAAAAACGACCGACCTTCTGTAACGTTACTGCTGTCCGATTTTTTCCAACACACCTCAATGCATGGAGCTGAAAGGATTGTAACTTCTCACGAATGGATCCGAAAAATCCTGTGGATAATTTTGATGTTAGGTGCGTTAGGTGTTTCATCATGGCAGATACACCAACTATACAGTCTTTACCACAAGCGACCCCTCGCCACTCATGTTGCCATCGAGCGTGACTCGGTAATAAAACTGTTTTCGTCTCTTGCATAGAGGATCTAATTGTTCCAGAAATAAGTTAATCATTTTTTCGATCTTTTTATGCTTTTTTGCTTTCCTTTTGTGTGTTTGTTTTGTATGTGTCGTGTTTCCCCTTCTTCCCTCCTTCCTTTTGAAGTATAATTTACAATAACATTGCAATTCCAGATTGTTGGTAGGTCTGTAAAAACTTTGATTATCTCAGGTCTTGAAAGATGACTTGCATCGGTCAGTATCACGAGTATTCTTTGTGGTGAGAATTCCGGCCGTTCATCGACAGGATTCGAAAACTGTGAGGTAGATTTGGTTGCCAGGGTAAACGTTGATGACACCATCAAAATATTAGTCAAGTTTTCATTGAATTGCCAGAGTTCTAATATCGTCCGCAAAGTTACATGAAGCAAATTTACCAGAGAAGAAAATAAAGGTTTTACATACCCCCTTCCCCCTTTGAGCTACGAGAAATATGTGTGGCTTGTACGTTCGAGGACTTAACGAAGGAATTCTGCGTGAGATGGATGGAGTTACATAACGGGTTTTCACCTGATCTTTTTTATTAAAATTAAACATAGGATTTGACGTTCCCTGCCATAACAGTTTGTGACTTGAACTCTTTGAGAATCGATCAAGTGAAAGGGGAATCGGCAGCAGCCAAAGCACTTAGAAGAGAGTTGAAAGGAGTAAATTGGTTGAAAAGTAAGTACAAAATCAGCGCAGCTGGAGATTTACTAAACTATTTTACTAGTAAACATTTAAATTGTCCGCATGATTCAAATAACTCTTGTACAATGGAAAGACTTGAATGTTTTCATTGTTTCAGGAAACGACAAAGATGACGAGGAGGAAGACCAACATGATGCAGAAGAGGAAGACCAACGTGATGCAGAAGAGGAAGTGGAAGAGGATCCACAATTTATAGCGAAGGAAAAACTTATGACCAAAATAGCTAAAACAAATGCTCGTCATGATCTCACAGAGTTAGGCCATCAGTTTGAAGATTTTATAATTTATTGCACCTTTCGTGGAATCAACTGCGCGTATGTAAATCTTTTAAATCGTAATATTTAACATGCCTCTTCGTTGTCGACGAATAAATTATCGGAAAAAGTATTTTAATTTCTATCTTAATGTGATAACACTTAAATTTGTACATGTAAAAACCAGACAGCTTACGGAATTTCTTTCAAATGTTTTTTCGCATGTGATAATGATATTACAACTTGGAGAGGAAAATATGAAAGGTCATAATTCGCCTTGGTCAAACGTTTTTATAAATTTGTTGTAAATTCCTTTTGATTTAGGAATTACTCCAGTACACACTGGACTCGTTTCTGGCATTTTGCTTACGGGAACTGCTACGTTTTCAATGGAGGGTACAGTGACCAAGGAGAAAGAACCATTTTGTGGAAGTCAAGTGAAACAGGCCCCTTGTTCGGTTTGTCAGTGTTTGATTTTTCGACCTCCTTAAGATACTCTGGATGTCATTTCCAAAAGGTCTTCAGGACTTTTCAAACACCTAGACACGAAAAAACTAGAAAGAGAAGATTGTAAATTGTTTTTTTAGCTGGGTGATTGTTAGCAAAAGAAGATGATTACTTTTTCAGTCAGTGGAAAAAAGCTTTCTACGAAAAGAGGTTCCCATAAGTTTCCAAGAACTCATCGGTAAAGCATTCAAAGCACCAATGTGAATGAAGATTGCTTGTTTCGAGATTGCTTGTTTCGCAGGCGGAAATGAAAACCTTTACTTTGACGTTTGGTGCTTTTGGTGCCTTGTGTATTTCAGATGTATATATTAACATTAGAACTTTAATGGCGATGATATTTACTTTTTTTCGTTTTATTAAGGGCTTAGTCTGGAGCTGAACATCGAACAAGATCAGTACATCGGATCCCTGACACAAGAAGCAGGAGTGAGAATTGACATCTCAGATCAAGGAGAAATGCCTTTTCCTCTCGATAAAGGACTGAGTCTTGCACCAGGATATGCCATGTCTGTTGGAATGAGGAAGGTTTCATCTGTTGAGCATTTATGGAAGTTCTTGAATAGAACTTGCGATCAAAAGCATCACAATACGATCCAACCTGAAAGAGAAGAAAATTTTTTTTCCAAATGATTTATCTCAAAGTTTTTTCCTATTTTCTGGCAAATAACTCCTCAGTACCTCCAACATCATCATCGGCACTTTATTTGTTTAGCTTCTTGTTTGTTTGTTTCCTTGTTTTTCCTCTTTTACTTATCTCATTGCAGGCAGCCATGAATCTTTGGTTGCTGTAATCAAATGATGTTCTTGATAAAATTACCATTGACCAATCGAAACGCAAGGGATAAATCCGGCCAATCGGATATCATGGAGAGCTTTTTTCCTCTTCGGATTGATCGTCATATTGAATGTTTATATTTTTCTTTCAAGGTTGTTATGAAACGATCGGATCCTTTTCGGAACAACTCCTGCATGAAAAACTCTGCCCCTGACAGCATGAACCTTTTCAAGGATACGATGAAAGCGGATTATTCAACAGCTGTATGTGTTACTGAGTATCTTAATTTTTTTTTTACTTTGTTTGTCGTTTTATATGGGTTTGGTTCTGTTATTTTGCTATGTAAGATATTTTAAAATTGATCCCTGAGTCTTTGTTGGATATGAGATGGTAAATATCCAACGAGCTTGTGCGGACTCGGAGTTGAAAGTTTAGTAATAATCTATACTCATTATCTTTAAGACTGCCTAACATCAACTGATTTTAGAGTCCTCAATAATATACACAAAGCTACACAATACTTAATTTGCAATCACATCGTCCCCCTTCCTGACCAGTTTATTTGCTATCCTTTCTCACCTTTTAACCTTATTTGTTAGGCATGCAAAAAGAGCTGCTGGGCACGAAAGCAACAAGAAAAGTGTGGATGCGTTGAATACAAATATCCAAGGCCGAAGTCTACTCGTTTCTGTGAAACCTCAAACAAAACAGACAGTAAGCACTTCCCTGAGATAACTCGTAATAGATTTAGAAAGCTATCACTATGCCCCCTCTGCCCTCTCTCTTCTGCAACAATCCCTGTTCTCTGTCCCATCCCGCCTTACCTCTTCTCTCAAGAAAGGTTCGCCATGTTGGCATAGATATAAATTCCCGGGCACTAGTAGTTTTTTGAAGGTAACAATTTCTAAATATAAAACTTAACCTTTTGCGTGAAATACATGTACATCTATATAAAGCTGACGTGATATTATAACATCTTTTTCTAGGAGCTTGTGTCAGAAAAGTGAAAGACTATTTTATCCAGGGAGTACTGAACTGTTCCCAATCATGTCCTCCACCTTGCAAGTAAGAAAAATTATTTACCTTTTTTTTACGTTCGCAGACGCTCAATTTGAGTCCTGAAAGTAAACCCAGATTGCTCAAAGTAATGTAGATTAAAAAGACCTTTGTATTCTGTTAATTTATTTTTAAGACGTATTGTTTTTGACGTTTCGGTAACATAATCAATATTCAGTTACAGGTACACAGTTCCTGGTCTCATTTTGAATTTAAATTTATTTCAGGGAGAGCACATTCAAATTCACTACATCTTACTCGTTGTGGCCGACCACAAGTTCGGAGGTCGGTATACATTCATGGAGCTTACATATTTTAAGAAGTAACTTCTATTTTTTTATTTTTCAATATTTTTCCAAATGTATCATTCCAACCTTGAACAAAGTTTTCACTTTATTTATATTTTTCACTCGTTTTTCGGAATATCGAGAACCCAAAACCGCACGGGACGTTTTAATTAGTAAATTTACTTAAATTACTCACATCAAATGAAAGGTTTATCAGGTCTCAAATACACCTTTGTGATATCATACCAGAAAATTAACTTCATATCCTTCCAACTCATTGCAAGGTCATTTCAATTTTCTAAAATGAAAATCTGTGATCATATCTTTCGATAACTACAAGCGCTGTGATTGGTACTTTAAGTAAGTGTTGTGGTGTAAGTTATGTATCCTTGCTTCTTCCTGTTTGATTTATGTTTGGGGAAACGCATGATCCGTAACTTACAGTTCGAAGTGTTTATCTTCTTTTCAATCCACGGGCACTAGAAATTCTATAGAGCGAAATTGAAGGCCAGGAATAAGGAGGTGGACGGAGAATCCGACGACTTTAGGTAAAATTATAATTAGATTGTACTTATAACTGTTGTACAACTCTTTCTAATTGGGATTCATTTGCAGGCGAAGCCACTGGCAATAAAGAGAAACGAAAATCAAATTAAATTTATGATGTCATATATCTTACTCTAAACTTGATAACATCATGAGACTGCCAAAGCTTTTAATTGTTGCTTTTTAGGAAACACATTCTCAAAGTAAATGTATTCTTTGAAGAACTGAATTACGAAGTTATTTCGGAGGATCCGGCGTATGAGGTAAGTGATGAAATCTGAGGATCAATATCAGTATCTAAGCAAATGCATACCTACCCCTCCCCCTTAACCAACGTTAACCCTATGTTATCACTTGGTTATTGTTGGGCTTGGGGATGGGTGGGTCCACGGTTCCTAAGATACTGACATTAATAAAAATTTACTTATGGATCTATAATTGGCATGATTACTGGAAATTTGCCATCGACGATAACCTGACCATTCAACTCGCCAATCGGAAAGGGATCTAACGAATCATATATTTTTGATTAGTTCAGACATTTTAGCTTGACATACATAATTACTTCAAGTGGCATTAAACGCAAAATTTGATTTGTTTGCAGCTGCCAAGTTTTATGTCAGACCTCGGAGGATCACTTGGTCTTTGGATAGGAATGTCCGTTTTGACGTTTGCCGAAATCTTGGAGCTGATTTTACTCATCTGTTATACTTTGGCTCGAAAGCTGAAAAATAGAGTGGATGCCAGGTCATCAACTGTCGCTGTTGAAATGTTCCAACCAGAGTAATGATACCCAGTGGTCGAAAAGTGATTCCTAACTGTAATTTCATGTCGGCAGTTTTTGGCGATTAACTTAGTCTAGTTCGAATGATTTACGGGTAACAAAGCACAGTTGCCTAAACAGGACGTAGTTTACGCTTTTATTTCAGTAGATGGACAGTTGTTATTTCTCTAAAACATAATATGTATGTAGTTAGCCGTCGCCGACGACCGAAGATCTATAGAAAGCCAGTAAATATAGTTGAACAAGAAGAAGAGCTACCTTGTAAATACGAAGTAGACTGGTTTCGTTTCAATATGCTTTTTTTCTTTAATTAAACATTCACGACTAACATGAGAATAAAGCTAAATTGAATAACTAGTAAAGTTTGCAGAACAGGTTACCAGTGAAAAATCAGTAACAAGCCGCATGCATCTCAGCCTCATTTTGTATATTATTGACTGCTTTAAGCCTAGCGATAACACTTTAATCTCTGATTAAGTATGTTGTCATTTAAATTAATATAAGGTTTATTTTCCCCTTAAAATTTCAAAATCGAACCAGCTTCGGCCCTTTCAATATCTATTTGATTTATATATGGTAGGATTACGGATAAAATATATTGTTTTCTAAAGATGCAAATATACCTGTTTCAGTTTATTCGTATAGGTAATCACATGATTTCGAGTGTAATTTGGAATAAATAAGCATGAGTTAATTTTTTTAAAAATTTTGTTAAAAATTAACAAGTGCTTGTGTATTCCAAATTGCACGAGAAAAATCATGTGATTACGTGTTAATAATATACATGGAAAAATACGAGATGGCTTATCATAATTAAACATAAGCAAAGCGCGCGCATCAAGTGCAAAAATAATTTATTCAAACCGTGCGTTCGGTCAAAACAACCGCGTACGATCAAAACAATAATATGCAATGATATCTTCACATCTTTAAGGTGCAAAAACGTTCAAAGTCCGGCTAAACAGTTCAAGGAATTGTTCAGCCTGTGTCCGAATCACTTTCGATGAAATGGAATCGTCGTTTCCGAGGTTTTACCATGTTTGTTTTTAATTTCGGCGTTGGATCGCTCGAGCAAAGTGTTAAGCTGGGTCGGCTCGTAATTTTCGATTTCCTCGGCAATTCCCTTCCCTAAACACCCCTTTTTCCAAACCGACAACCAAAAACCCCCAGAGCTTTTTACAGTGTTTTCGTTGTTTAAGCTGTTTATCAGCTGCGGTGGCGAAAGAAAGCCTACTTAAAACGCCGGCCATTGTTTCGCTCGCAAATTTTCAAATTTTGGTGCGACATCGAGGGCTCGCATTTGATTGGCTATCTGTGAGTTTCTTTGATTATTGACCAATCAGAATGTCTGATTTGTTTCTTTCTTTGCACTGAATTAACCCTCTTCTGCACTGAATTAACTCTCTTCTGCACTGAATTACCTGAAAACTACATTTATCTTTACCAATCAGAACTGAGTAATTTTTCCATGTATATTATTAAAAGAAAAATATTATTTTTCTTTACGCTTAAGTAGTTATTCTAAAGCCCCTCGTCCTTAATTTGATTTGATTTTTGGCAGTTTTGAAGCCAGATATTAGCATGTTCTGCATCCCAGCATATGAAACTCTTTGACGCATGTGTTAGAATATGGCGAGAGTATCTTAAACTAGCACATGCTTGGTATCTTTATTGCTCTACAATTAAGTCTCCTTCAATTCCAATGAGGCTGACTTCACTTTTCCCCGCGATGTGCATTTTTTGACAAGATGAGCAAACAGCAACATAAAAAATTCAATGAACTCGGCTATTGTCAGCACAGAAAATCCGATCCATAAACCGAGCTGGCCACCAATGTCGGACGCGAAATCTGCAATCTGTTTAAACAAGGGAAAAAAATGGACTTTTCAATAAGAGCAATCTTTGATCTCGGGTAAGCTATCGGTGTCGCTATCAAGGTCTTCAATCGCCTCTGTGCAGAAAATTGTCTCTTTCGATTGCATTTAACACCGACGGTATTTTAGTGCGTGACTTTTTGTTAGGCGACATGACTTGCATATAGAGAGAGTTGGTTTTAATGAGTCACTACAATAGAGATAACTTAAATTATTTTTAAATTTGCGAACCTAAGGCTCGATGCACTCATCGAGAGTCATGTCTTACCGGAGGTACACCAATGGAGATCAGTGTTACTGGTGCACATTTACACTATTCACTCCCCCAATGCAGCGAACTTTTCATTCCAATTATTTCTCGATCAGTTACGAGCTTTTCCGCATTGTTTCGGAAAAAGTTCCTCAGCACTGCCCATACGAAAAGGACTTTTGTTTGATGCTTAATGGGAAAGTTGAGCAGGGACAATGGATCATTTCTTGATACGATGAACATTGCATACCAAACCAAACGTCAAAAATATGAATAAATGAGAAAATAAAAGTATACTCACTCCGTATGATTTTTGTTCTTTTATCATTTCAACGTTAAGTTCTTCGAAGAAAATTTGTACCTTCAGCACATTTTTCCTGTAGAATTAATGCAGAAATATTGAATGTCAGAAAATTTGCATCAATGTCTATAATCGTCTCGCCGTACCTAACATGCAATTTGAAGAACATTATAAACCAGGCTGCTATCTTACAGGAACTTTTGCGGGAGACTATTCCTCACCTGAGAGAGTCAAAATCTGACCAAACGAATTTCCCGCGCTTCTCGAGCTCATCTTGGTAGAATTCCTGGAAAAACAAATCAATTTAGTTTGTTTACCTCTAATAAATTTTGGTCCGGCCACTTTTTAAACACCTAAAATCACAAACTGCAATTAGCAACCTCGTAATTTTCCGAAGGCCAAACAGCAAGCGATGTACTTATCTTGAACTCTTCCTGGCTGTAAGAAAATTAATAATGATATTTCAAAGTTAATTTCTGAGGAAAATTTACCATCGCATTTAAAAAAGTGACAAGTGAAAATGATAAGCTAACGAAAATTACGACAGATTTAATTTTCACAGAATAGATTTCATTATACCTGCATGGAGGGGGACAAGAGCTGCTGCAATTTAGTTTGTTGTCCCGGTACTGCTTCTGTAACTTGTTGAGGCAGCCAACTGCAGATGAAAAAATGGCAACACTGTGAAACAAAGCCGGAAAGATTGCTCTTTTTCTACCTGCTTCAGTTTCAAGTATAGTTTAATGTTCTAATTCCTTCGCAGATGATTGTGCTGCTGGAAAAGATCAAGTGATTGTAGAAGACATAATGAAAAAAAAACTTAAAAGGGAAACTGAATTAAAACGTTATTATTGTGTAACAGACCATCAGAAGTGTGAACTTACTAGTGGTTTTATTGGTAATATCACAAACTGGATTTTTGTCCACAGGAAATCTGTACTCCATACATCCACACTGTAAAAACTGACTGTCGGCTAAGCATGACTCCTTACAGGCCTGAGATTGAAAAAGGGAGATCACTTTATTCCATGACAAAGTAACATTAACTCTCTCACCCCCATGTGTGACCAAGACAGAATTTGTCCTCAAAAATCAATACAAAATCGAGCAGAAAGGATTTGAGAATCAAGAAACAAATAAGTTAGGTGATTATTGATTGATCCAATACCAAATTCTTCGAACCAACATCGTTAGAATAGTATGGCACACTGGGCTAGGAAAGAGTTAAGTCTTTGAATTAAGTGAAAACCTTAAGACAAAATTATGCTCTCAATCAAGGATTGATTCAACCTGTAATGATTCTTCCTCTAAAGCTGTCACAATTGGTCTGGCTTATTACTTTTCTGATTTGTTTCAGCTGTAGATGATGATTGGTCATTTTATCTCGTTTTCTGAAGAGGAATTGAATATCGTCTTCAGAAAGGACAAATATTAATAGCACCCCCCCCCCCCCCACGTCATGGCCCAGTCCAAATTCCCACATCGACGAGATGTGCCTGATTTCACATTTGCGCCACGAATGATATACTGAACTCAAGCGGTCCACTGTTGGCAAGCTCAAAAACCAAAAGTAGAAATTAACTGAGAGGGAAGGACACCAATTGATATCAGCTCTCACTTACGGTTGATGAGTATGTGGCGTTAAACATTCTGGTGTACAAGTTCGACTTGTCAATTGAGGAGTTTTTATGACATCGATTGTTATTGAATGGATCCTGTCTTTCGATCATGACCTAGCACATAGAAAAAAGGTTTTAGAAAACAGCACATAGAAAGAAGTTTTAAGAGACGAACAAACAAACGCCAATTAACTAACCCGTTGTAATTTTTTTGTATTGACAAGAAAATGCCTGACAAAGTCTCATCGCTTAGCATCTACGTCACATTCACTTTGCGAAAATAAGAGAGAAAAGGCATCTTCCGCTAATAACCTTACACCGATACATCTTGGAGCAACGACTCAGAAATGTCTCCTCCATCGTAGAATTAGTTTACCTTTCTCAAACCAATTGACGTGGCGAACCCTACAGGTATGCTTAAGCCTCTCTCCATTGGAAATGGCATATATCCCTGACTTGAAATATCAAGTCTGATACCAGCTTCTGGTGTTAATTGATTGAGGTACTGGTCTTGTTCCACGTTTATCTCAAGATTTAGCCCTAAATTAAGAGAAAATATGGTTACAAATTGTAGCTTGGTAACTGAGCCATATCAATGGCTTCGTGATTTGGTCCGATGAATAAAGGGGGAAGAAACCGTGATGCTTCGTCGGTGGGAAGTGTATAACAAGGCAGTTTGATTTTATTAACAGATTTGGTAAAATAAATTGACCGCCCTATGGAGATTCTAAAGCTGGCATTTCGAGCGTTCGTCCTTTGTAATTAGCTCTAACGAAGGGCTAGTGCTTGAAACGTCTGCTTTGGAATTTCTTTACGACGGCCAATTTACATTATCAACTTAGTCGATATAACCAAATTATCTAATTTTAACAGAGGTTATACTCTAAGTACTGATAGACTAAGAAAGTGCTTCATCGACTGACTCACTAACTCACTGACGCGTCAGTGACTGACCTAAGAATGGGACGGCTGACTGACTGAGTGACGCACGGACAAAGCAACTACTTGTCTGCTCCAAAGATCACGAATCTTGAGCAAACTGGAAAAGGGAGTCACTTACCATGTGTGGGCCCAGCTTTGTTGGACTTAATCACGGGGCTGTTAGATCCCGAGCTTGTTAAGCCGCTGTTAAAAAGGAAGCAATTGCCGTACTTGTAGTGCCAAAATTTGGTCCAGAAATTTCCTGTGAAATTGCTAAGGGGAGAGACAATAAAAAAGACTAACATCATATCATTTCAAAGCTGGGTGTAAAGTGTACAAGTTAATCCAGTTAGAGGTGCATTTTCCTCTGGGACTTGAGTCGCCTTCAACAATTTACGCAACATTCAGATTTAAGAATTCTCATGTGAGAACACAGCTGAGCCATGAAAGTCTCGTTAGATCACAAATTTCTGAGCAGTCTAAGGTTTTACTTACATAATTCACGTGGGATGCTACAATTACCTGCAAGAAACACCACGATAAGTGCAGGACAAAATCATGTCTTCGAACTGATGACCCAAATTTGAAAGATAATCTTCGTCTTTTCCAGCCAACAAAAGAGAAACTTTTTCACTTGCGAAATATTCTTCATCAAGGTTTTCTGGATCTTCCACGTCGTCGTCTCCCCAGTAATCAAAATCTTCATCGTAATCTGAGTAAAAGTCTGTTGGGGTTGGACCGTACATGGTTGGCACTGCATCATCGTTTGCTCGAGAGGAAGTGGAGTTCGACGACGAATCTAAACATCAATAGGAGGCATGAGTTAGTGTTCATAAGAGAATGGAAAAACTCACCGTCCCTTCACGCCAAAATGTGAGAGAAAATAATTTCAAAGAAAGGCTTCTTACACAAGGGAAAGCAATTACAGAATATGCATATGCCAGGCATTACACCAACTAGAGGTATACTCCTTTCAGTTGCCGGACAGGAACCTTTCAGTTGCCGGTCAGGAACCTTTCTGGGTTGTCTGCAAACTCCTCATAATTACCAGCAAACCACTATGAGATGTTGCAAAACTCTTCTAAATTGTCGAAAAACTACTCTAAATTGTTGTCAAACCTCTACGAGTTGTTATCGAACTCCTTTGAGTTGTCGGTTAAATCCTCAGAGTTGTTGGAAAACTCCTATGAGATGTCAACAAACTTCTTAGAGTTGTTAGCAAACTCCAAAGAACTGTTGAAAATCTCCTTTGATTTGTCGGCAAGCACGTCAGAGTTTTCGGAGGAGAAATCGTTTTCCCTTGTACTTGTGGATATATATGACCAAGTTAAACTATATTTCATTTTTCTTTTCCTTGCTATGAAACTCTATGTATTAATTGACTTAAAGTATTACTTTGCTTTTTAATCGTGTCGAGGAGGTCAGTGAAGTTGCTTTCCTCAAGTGCGTCGTACTTGATAGCATTGAAGTTGCATAATGTGACAGTGGGGAATGGAAGGCTCTGGAAAAAAATTAGTTTTAAAGTAATGAACATCAAATTTTGCAAAACTTAGAGCATTGAAAAAAGGCACGGGTTATAATAGAGTAACGGAACTTTCTTTTGATCCCTTGCTAAATTCTTTTCGCTCTTCCGCTGAATTCCTGGAGCTGGTGTATCGTTTTTAATTAGGAATTATATAAACATGATATCAATGATAAACAACCGAAGCTAGTCCACGGAATACCAATGAAAGCTGAAAATGGAATAATGAGACGGAAGATAACAATGTAGGAACATTTCAAGTTGACATATTCCATGATCATAAATTCTCAGCTTGAGAATGACTGCGCACGACAAGACTGTTTGCTACTATCGCCTAAGTTGAAATCATTTTATGTCTCCACTTAGCTCTTAATCCTTACCGTGTCAGACTGCAGTGACACGAGTGTGACCAGCGGTCTACTCTGGTATTTCTCAAAAAGTGTCAAAACCTGAAAGCACAGCACCACGATGGCTGCAATAAACAACAAACTCCAGAACGCCTTGCGAATCCACTGTTTTGAGGACATGATCCTCTCAAAGCCATGCGCGGATGTATAACCACAGAAGTCTTTGGTCAGAGACGTGAAAGTATCTACACTCTTCTGCTCCTCTTTCGTTTTCACCCACCCCTGCTGATCCATGCCTGCTTTAGGTTGTTTCATTCCTTTCTTCTGAAAACAAGTTTATTCAAGGTTACACTGAAGAAAATATTGTTTTCAAGAGGATATTTCGAGTCAGCTATACCGAGGTCTTTGATGATACCCTACAAGATCACTCTTTTGCCGAAAGTAATTCGTGCAATCATTTAATTCTACTCTGACGACGAATGGCCTGTTTCGTTCTTATAAGCGTTGTATACGTATCTTATTTTCAAGTCTGTGAAGCAGAAATTTCTTTTTTTCTGCTACGTTTTTCCTAATTTGAATGCTGCTACCATCTGAGGACATATGCACCGACTGCCTCTCGAGACACTTTTGTTCCTTGATTTCTAAATGCTCTTGACAAAACATTGATCCAGCAACAGCACCATGGTCAGCAACGATGGGCAGCGTGCAGTCCAACCCACAATTACGGTTATTAACATAACACTAACAACTAACAGTCAGTGAGGTCAGGATAAATAGATAATCGTAACTCAAAGGCAGAAATACAAAAAAAACAAAGAAATTATGTTTAGTTGAATACTCTGTAGATAAGAAATACGATGCGAACGCGGATAATTAGAGTTGAAGACAAAACTATCCAGACTACACAAATGACATTCAAACGGATTCCCAGCCTTCCTTTTTCAATGCCGCAAATGGAGACCCTAGCTAATTCCCGCCTAACCTTTCGTCTACTACCTTGGGAAGATCTTTAATCGGTTACATGTAACACGAAAGACAAAAAACGGTGATGTCTATTTGCAAAGCGAGAATAGTTGATAATATTTGTGAAGTCACAAATCAGGATATAGTTGTTAATCAATCTGTGCATTTTAAGTTATTTCCATAGGGGGTTTTGTATAAAGACAGGTTGCCTAGAAATAAAAATGCTCTTGTAACAATGCTCGGTAATTTCTTTCGTATTCAGAGTATTTGATGTTTTGATACAAAATGATTACGAGAGAGTTAACACCCGTGATTATGAACGTTCGGATGTTATTGTACATAAGTCACTCCATCATCTTATCATTAAACCTAATCAGTTACTGACCCACAACGTGCATTTATAGCCTATTTGAAATAATTGTAGCAGTTGTTCAGCGATTCAATGAGCAATGTTGAAGTTGCCTTGATTGCCTTGACGAGGTACTTAACATATGTACTGACCAAAGTATATACGTAAGCGGTAATTTTAAATTATGTCAAAGTTTAAAGTAGTCAAAATGGCCTTCATCATGTGTACAAGTCAGCAAACATGCTTGCCATTTCGGTTTTACTTGACAAAACATCGTTAAAATGTCTACTATGTTGTCTGGAGAAGACATTACCATCTTGCGCAATTTACGAACATAATGCAGTTGGCAAAGCCAGATCAACAAAACATGAATTCCGACAAGATAGAAGTATGGTTTTTATTTGTGAAATGACTCTCGTGCACAATTTCACAATCACTGAAAGGCGCTTCATGGTGCAATTAATCTGAGCTGCATGTGTTGACGCACAGTGATGATAATCTGTAAGATGAACAATTCAACTTTGCACGAATCGGTAAAACCAAATTAAAGCCTCTGTTCAGGTTAAATACTCAAGCCAGATCACCAACAGCCATTCGAATGGCATGAAGCATTTCTCTGAGAAACCGAAATTGTTGCGAGCTGATCTTTTATGACTTATTAACCGCTAAAAGAGCAAGTCTTAGAGTAACACAAATTAACGAACAGTTAAGTGCCTCGTGAAACCCTTCAATAGTGATGAATCTTTACTTACATCTGTCTAAGAAGGATTAAACTAAATATTTACCATTCGTTGTCTAACGTGAACCCAGCTTTAACACCATCACGACTTTTTAAGCGCTTTGCATCTGTATGAAGGACCTTCACTCGCGGCGATTTTTGATCATCAGATGTTTAGACTGTTTCTTCAATAAGGACGGTTCACGCTTCTTGACAACAATGTTGTTATTTGCACTTTTGAATCACTGAAGCAAAGCCGCCTCAAAAGATTCAATGGATGGCATACAAATGACTTTATTATTGACAGTGTTATAATGAGCCTGGTCAGAATAATAATGAATTAATTGTATTCAGTGATATTTGGCCCCAAAATTTCTGTTGATTCATTGAGCTTTTTGTCCTTGCACTTTTCTGCGTACTCCATCTCTTCAGTTCCCTTTGAAAAATTAGGCCCAGAAATAAACATTTCTGATAGAAAGAAACCGGATCGTCCCCTTCCGTATATTTCAATTACATTTTGCTGGGCATTGTTAACTTTGTTTTCGTATTTCAGTGAAAACAGCTGCCTTTTTTAATAAACACAGGACTATTTTTAACGAGATTCACAACAATTAATATACGTGTTTCCTTTTTCCTGGTTCACAGAATAGTGCCCTTCCCTCCAACGTTCGCTAAAAAAAGGATTTATCGCTATTTCAACGTTCACAGAACTTGTTGATAGTAGTGGTCATTAGAAATATAGCGAGAGTTCTTCAATTATTTAGTAGTTTCACGAAAAAACATTTACGTATGACTATTCAGAAGGTAAAAGTCGTCAAAAACAAAAATAAATTGATACTATGGTTGATGGTTCTGTTTATAATACACACTTCAACCTTCCGACCAGTTTAGTGTCACGAATAAGGCCGTGAAATCAGTTTTAGTCATTATTTTCAGCTTACACATTTCGCAATATTCCTAGTTGAAATTTTGGTGAAATTGACAAGAATGTCTCTCTAAATACATAAGTATTTTGTTATAAACTCAATTGCAGTTCCTCGAGTCGAAAGGTGATAATGAATATTTAAAACGAAGTTCGGTGAGATATAAAAGAATATTTACTCACGCGTAATTACCTTCTCAGAAGCTGTTTTGATCTTTCAGATGGTTTGATATTCTTAAAACTTTCTTCTTTTCAGTGTTTAACTCATTACGTAAAACACTGAAAAGAAGAAAGTGTCTTTACTGTGTGGATTTATTTTTTGACAGGAAATGCATCTAAAAGTGTTTCTATTAAACTACAAGAAATCTCAATTTTCCTCGTCAATTTTACTCTACAAAACAGTTATTCTTCGTCATAAAGTAAATACGTAAAGACGGCTGAGATCATTGTTAATTTTCTCTCCTAATGTACGTATTACAGAAAGGTAATGAAGCATCATTCTGAAGAAATCGTAAGAAGATCATAAGTTGGACGTACGAGAGTTATTTACTGAAAACATCAACAGCAGAAAAAAAACGTCGCAAAGATAGAGAGCGGCCCGACAATTGCTGCTAATGTTGAAAAACTGAGCCATAAGATAATTAGCCAATAACTTGTTTGCAATAGCAAAATGATGTTTTTGTACCTTATCAGACGTCCACTTGAAGTCCTTTCTGGAGGAAACCTTGAAATAGTTTTGTATCCTTCTTCGTAATGTAAAATAAAGAGTTTAAATCTAAACGAATCTTTAAATTGTTTGCAAATGATGACGATGATGGGAAATGTCAAATGCACGTCTTACCAGACGACCAAACACAAAATTTCTTAGATTTCCATTTTACCAATATAAACAACAATTTCAAGTAGGATGTTTTTGACCCGCTTCCAATTATTTATAGGGCCTTGAGGTGATTTGTCTCGGGAATTTACCAGCTTGGGCGGAGTCTTTTCTTCCGGTCATACTGTTGCTAGGCAACTGTCACGATTAAGCAACATCTTGTACGTTAATATGGGTTCGCTTTGGGCGAATTGATTAGGTACTTAAGAGCGTACCTTATGTGATACAACATCACTGATGAAAATTTTAGAGATCGGATTAGGCCAGAAAAAAAATAATGATACGGAACTATGCGGAATTATCTCATAAGGAAAGTTACTGTGCAAGGCAACCTTTCACCGTGTCTTCATAATCATATTCGTGTTCATCTAGAACTGAAGTCTTTTTCGCTTAAAACGTAATATGCTTCTCATAATATGTAAAAATAAGAGGGAACGTAGGATACGATCCGTAGCTGTTCACAAAGATGTAAATGAATAGTGAGTTCTGAGGAAATAAAATTATGAATTAATGTTTAGCATGGTGATGATGTAATAAGTGTTCGTGATAACCAGAGTAGGCCTCAGAAGCTTTAAAACAGGATTCAAAATCAGACCACAAGCTACACAACTCACAAATAATGATGTCGAGGGTTATGTAACGACAATTTAACGGGCTGAGGAAATTTAAAGTTTGGACTGCAAAGTCACCAACGAATATGTCGGTGAAAAAGGATAATAACACGAAGGCCTGATATGTTTTCTCTAAAGCATAATTGCAAAATTTTAAGAGTATTATTTTAAACAGGCACCTGTGGTGAACAATTGTGACCCGAGGGTGGTATACAAACATCACGAATGCATTGAGTCACCCTACTATGATACAAAAAAAAAAACATGGCAAAACAAAAATAGGATGATTTGACGCAAAGCTCCAGCATCTCAGTAATGTTTTAATTGCATCTTACTCTGCAATCTTAATCAGTTAATCTAGAGGATTGAACGCACCTAAACATCATTTGTCGCATAATGATGAACGTTGATGTAAACAAAAACTTCTAGAATTTGTGTTATAGTTATGTTAAGGACGGTAATTTCTCGATAGCTTTGCATCGTCAAGGATTGTCCCACAGGGAAACTGAAAAGTTTTGGCACAAACTGATATGATGATGTAAATTTCATTAACCACCAAAATGAGTGATAACTGAATAGGAGAAACCTTCTAGAAATTAGCACGCTCCATAACAGTTACATTTAACCATCTCAAAACTTGATAATTTGTTGGCTAAAAGAAAGAAAAGCATTCTGTGCAATTCAACAAATATGATGCGCAGTTTATAAAACATTACCTTGAAAAAAAAAGTCACCACCTCCTACGCATCCAACGTCTATTTTGTATCGACAAATGTTTTTACCTCAATGTGATGTGAATTACTTGATAAAATATAATTTTAGTTGCTGTAAACGTACGTTACGTGATATCACCCACCACTTCATTGAAAGGCGTCATTTCCCTTTTTATAATAATTTGACCGATCCGTGTCGCAACCCACTTGCCATCTCCAAATGCAAAGTACTATGGGCGACGTTTAATAATCGCAATCAAGTGGCAAAGAAACACAATTTGATGTTATTTAGAGTCATTCAGCGATAATCTAATAGTGACATTTCTGGTTTTAATTTCAAGTAAGCCTAATATTCAAATTTATAAGGGGACGAAGTTGGACAAAAAAGTCGTTAAAAAGATTTTCTTTTTCTTCCTTGCCTGCTAACAATTTCATTTCAAAATGAGCTGTATGATCAAACGAGTGTAATAATCACCAAATATACTTGTTCTTAGAAAGAAGCTTAATCTTATCTCCACAACCTAATTAAACTAACGAAAAATTGATAATGAATGATGACATTACGAACTTCTCTAAGCCTGAGCGCTGTTCATAATTTAGGACTGAACATCATAATACGAAAGTAAAAAACAGCATTATTTGAAAAGTCAAAATGTTTTGGTGATATGGTCTTAAATCCTTCAAAAAAAAAATTATTTTAATTCGCGGTATGTTTTTCTTTTCAGTTGATATTAATTTTATGTGATTATTTTTCAAAATAGCTGGTATGATTGTCGCGACTCTCTTTGAGTTTTAGAGTAGATCCAGTAAATACAGTACATACAGCGCTGTTTTTTAAAGTAGAAAGTCATTTTGTAAAGAGTAAACATTGCGAATGTATCTACTCAGTATGCGAACTCCGCTCTGAGTAGTTTAGCGTCATTCGCTAATTAAGCATGACGAAGGTTAGAGATTTACAGCTCTGTAAGCGTCACCTTTATAAGCGGTGACCCACACTTTCTTAGAGGAGGGGGGCATTGGGGCCCATTAGAAACCGCAAAACTGTAGAAAGAATCATCCAAAACCGAAAAACCGACAAAAATTCGATCAAAACCGAAAACCACATGCAAAACTGTCAAAACCAATACATTTTCACATCCCAGTTATTGAAACCCTGATCGATCCGATACTGAGTGGTGACAAGTGGAGCGTACAGAGTAAACTGCACTAATTTCATGACAGGATTTATGAATACCATGGACTTGGCATTCGTATCTTCTAGTACCTGCTTAAATTAACAGCTGCTTTCTCGAGGACCTCGAGCGTGGTCTCTGCGGACTCAGCAGCTGGTAATGGAGCCCAATTAAATTAAGGAAATTCGCACAAAAGTCCTCGATAGGATTGCAATTTTGCAGTCGCAAAAAGCTATAGCTCTGAAAAGTTTCACCGAAAATCCCTAATCCAACATTTTCATTTGCGAACTAAGACCTGAAAGTTTGGAGATTCTATTGGAATGTTGAATCAATCAATCACATGTGGCCTGCAACTTGGTCACCAACTTCGGGGTGGCGTTGATAAAGAAACTCTGGCAATGATCCATGCTTAGCCGTACCCTTCGTGTAGCCGTACCCTCTCCTCCCCCCCTCCCCCCATCTTAGGGGAGGGGGAGAGTACGGCTACACATAGGATACCTAGGAATCCCTGCGATATTTCAATTGGTTTGTCACGCATTCCTCTCGATAACATTTGCGTTTAGCTGCTATCCGAGATCAGTGGAGACGCGTAATTGCCGCTCAGATTTTGGGACAAAAACCAAAAAAGCGATCTAAAAAATAGCCAAAACCGCAAAACCGAAAATCCTAATGCCCCCCTCCTAGAGAGACCAGAGTTAGTCCCCGTTGTATTAACTTGCGTAACAAAAGAGAGAATAAAAGAAATAGTCAACTGAACGACGAGTGTTACTTACAACAAAACGTAAATGTAGCGGAAACATGAAGCTCTAAGTTTCCGTCACATTTAAGAAATACGGAAACGTGAGATTTCGTCCTGTGCGAACCCCAGTAGATGACAAGAAGAAGGAAATCGAAGTAAGAAAAGAATAGCGAATAAAGAAAACACGTTTTTTGTTTTGTTTTGTTTTTCATTATAGCACT